CAGCCCAGGCTCGCAGTTGTACTTTTGAACCACTCATTTTGGGGAGGCCCGGACCGGGCGTGAACCACTATTACCACTCTCGGAGTGCCGAGCGAGCGCCTAAGCTCCGGAGAACAATAGAAAAGGACAACTTGTACCACTGATGCACCATTCTTACCAGTATTTCCTTCCGCCTCGGGAGTGCTTGCAAATTTACAATTGCGAATTCTAGTTGTACGACATTCTCCATGAAAAACCTTCGTGTGCCCAGCCCAAAACGACAATTTTACACAGCGTCATTACACTGATATATATAATATGCAAGTCAATAGACGTCGAATACTTTTAATACGTTGGATCCTAGCAACGTTGTCCGATCTCACCGCGACTGTTCAACAATGTCCGATCTCGCGGTGACGCTTCAACAAAGTACGATATGAATTCGGCTGGCGGCGTAAACATGAAATTTAGCAGTAAACTACAATTCAGCATTTTAAATTACGTCAAATATTAAATGATGTCTGTAACCCTTGGTTCTTGATGAACAAACAAACAAACATCGACCAAGCAATTCGAGTACCGTTTACCCTTGCGATCAGCGATAAGTTTGCGCCGTCGCGCCGAAACGGACATCGAACTTTGTTGAAATGTCGTGGAGAGATCATATCGTCAAACATCGTTAGAACGTATCACCGTATATCCGATCAAACGCTGCCGGCAGACTAAGCTTGCACTTTAAAAAGCTTACGAAGTAAATACTTTGCAACGTTACGAACAATTTTCGTTCTTCGTATTAAAAAATTGTTCGTATTGCAAAGCGATTGTTTGTAAAGCTAGACGGGTCTTACGAACAATCGGTTTGCATTACGAACTATTTGTTCGTAAGCAATTTACGGTGTGGCCCGGCACCGACTGTTAAAAAAAATGCTGTAAATTTACAGTGAAAATTTGATGTGGTGTGATTTTGTTAGCAACATATACTGTATTTTTACAGGCCTTACTGTAAAAGTGCAGCGTTACTGAAAATGTCGAAAACAAAGTTTCCGACCGAGAGCAGTTACTTTGTTTTGCTCATGTGCGCACTTGAATTCGTAGTTGTTGCCCCTGCCGACAAGCCAAGCAGACCCGGCTCTTGACGAAAGGGGTTGCCGTCGGAGCGTAGTGTATCTGGCAGCTCCGTTTGGCGGAAGGATGGGCTTGCTTGTTAACAACCATTTTAACAGAGTAAACAATACCATGTTTATGCCAGTTGCGCACTTTCGTTTTAAGTGTACAGCGCGATGATGTCTACTCATTTGTCTACGCACTGGAAACGCAAGTGTGTGAATGTCGCTCACCTGCAGTTGTGTGAATATCCATTCGTACACTCATAGTGAAAAATAGTGGGTAGGTTTACAGGAAAATTTTCCTTGATGCTAGTTGTAAACTTACAATTTGGAATCGTAAAATTACATGCAGTGCGTATCGACTTTCCGACGAGTTTCCAAAAAAAAATGTAAATTCACGACAGTATTTTTCACAGTGCTTAAAGGGTTATAAGTGTGCATTTTTTCTAGAAAATTCACACGTTTACCCCCGTAAGTGTACGAATGGATATTCACACACCTGCAGGCGAGCGACATTCACACACTCGCGTTTTCAGTGCGGGACAAAACGTGTGTACTATTCCGTGATATTCATGTCAAATGAAATGCGCCACAAAAACCTTCTTGCACATCAATTGTTTTTAGGGTCGGGGAGTGGACAGGGAAGGGTTGGTGTCAGATAAGTCGCCCGTCAGAGAAGGCAAACATGCACGCCCTTTAGACAACCTACGGGGCATTACTTCACCAGAAAGTTGTACTTAAAACAGCCCCTGCTGTCCCTAGTTGAAACCACGCACGGCGTAGTGTGACACTGGCAACGCATTCGTGCGTAACAGATTCCTGGCAACTGTCGAAATCACACAAATCTGCTGCGCCACCATAAATAGCTACACAACGCCATTAATGAATGATTTTTGGAGACGAACAACGTAACTGAAAATTGGTTGGCGCCTTTTGACGCATATATATTTAAACAAACACCAAATTTTAGCGTCCTAAGACGCCAAATCTAGCATCGAATACTTCTTGGGACGCGAAATTTTGGTGTTCAATGACGCCCAAATTTTGTGTACCCTGATATATAAAGTGTGCAACTGACACACACTTTAAAGTGTTTAGCACCGTGTGGCACATTTCTATGTGTGCAACACGAGTTTTGAATAGTTGGAAGTGTTCAACAGGTGTGTTGCACACTTTTAAATGTTCAACCTGAACGTCGAGCGCTATAGCTTAACGCTCAAGTTGAACACTAAAAAGTGTGCAACACGCCTGTTGAACACTTCAAACTATTCAAAACTCGTGTTGCACCCATAGAAGTGTGCCACACGGTGTTAAACACTTTAAAGAGTGTGTTAGTTGCACACTTTATATATCAGTGCACTTGTGTTTTTCCGTGACGGCCTATCAGCGGCATTTGCGAGCTGCACTGCGCCGTGCGCAGTTTCCAAGGGACAAGAAGAGCAAACTTCTCATTTCGTCGATAAAAGTTTCATAACACAGTTTTCTGCAATGAGCAGTGAGAATTAGAGAATTTTATAATAAATAATGTGACAGTGCTCTCCATCAAATCTGAAGAATAGAAGTGACACGGAAAAATTATGAACGGAGTGCATATGCCGTGTTGTCGTTTCGCACACCGTCTTTTCCAAATTTTATAATTAAACAATTACGTGAATTATGTAGACTAAAGTGCAAATGGGGTTTACTCTGACTCTTCGATGTTTCCTGTTTGTTTGTTCCTACAGACAGACCGGCAGAAGCAGCTCGGTACGACTGTCATCAGTAGGTTTGGGGAGAAGGCGGAGCGCATATCTGTGCGTAACATTAACTTGCCTGACTTGAGCTTCGCATCCAGGATCAACAAAAGGGCCCAATTCTCCCTTTTTTTGCCTGAGCATCGACAGATTGCTGGCAAGCTAATACAAATATTCTTGGGTAAGTAGCTGTACCAGCATGGAACACTCTTAGTAATTTTACTGAGGACGTACTCTCTACTACTCCGATATATTGTTAGAAAAGAAAACAAAGTAGATGTACCATCTACGCAACAAATGTGGCAAGAGTCACATTTAACTGGCAGGATCACTGTTTTTAAAAAAGGTCTAAAAATCCAGACAATTTGGCACGTACTAAACGTCTGAAAATTTGGACTGTTTTGCCTGAATTTGTGGTATGAATTTTTAGTTTGCATTTTCAGCTATCTTAGTCTGAACAGCAATTTCATAACTTTTAGTCTGCATTATAGATCTTCTGTTAAAATGTAGTTGTCTTGACGCTCTTTGCCGTCTTCGTCTAGTTGGATTGTATTCTAAGTAATTAGAAAGATATTTGTTATTGTACCTTACCTACCTACTCGGAGTCGAACCTCGGACCTTTGGATTAGTAATCTCTCATCCTTGACCGCACGCCACGACGACAAGACTGGCAAGGGGGCTTAGGCAAGTGTAAATTCCTGATCTTGCACACTGCAAAATTCCTGCAAAAAATTTTCAAGCATTGTAAGGAAGTTTGCATTGCAAACTATTTTCTTTGCATTGCAAACTATTTTCTTCGCAGGTTGTGAAGAAATGGTTTGCAAGGTTACGAACTAATACTTTGCAGCGTTACGAACGATTTTCTTCGTAAGGTGCGAAGAATTAGTTTGCAATGCGAAGGGTTAAGTTCGCAATGCAAAGCATTTTGCAACGCTTGAAAATTCTTTGCAATGCGAAGAATGGTTCTTCGCACACAAACTCGGCATATTTGTTTCTTATCTATGTTGATGACGACTGACGGTAGTATTTTTTCCTGAGAGTCAATTTCTAGGGTACTTTAGGGGAGGAAATAATGGAAAAAACTATTGAATTTGGATCAAAAATGACGGAAGGAGGTTTCAAATCGAAAAGTGTCAGAGGAACTACCCCCCCCCCCCCTTGGCCCCCAAAACCACTCATTTTGAGTCAGAATATCACTCAATATTTGTACAAAAAGAGAAATTTGTATTTTGTGAAATTATACGCTGTTATAGGGATTTTCGGCACATGACTCTCAGGAAAATATTTGGTCGGCTTTCGTCACCTACATAGATAAGAAGCAACTATACCGAGTTTGGGCACGATCGGGAATTTACACTTGCCTAAGTCCCCTAGTAAGGGGTCACCGACGGCTATCTCCTTGATCCTACCGGTGTGCTCCTGGGACTAAACTAAATATTCATACTTTTCTTGTCTGAATTTCAGATTCAGACCTTCATCTGAATTAATATTTTGAATTTTCATATTTTCTTGACAGATATCTTAATTCAGACCTACAGCTATAAAATTTCAGACGTTCACTGAAAATTCTGACAAAATTGCATGAAAACCCCATTCAACTTGCGTGCATATGCGAGAGCCCATCACTAATTTGAACCCTTTGAAGTGTTTGACTCGTTATTTGAATACTGTAAAGTTTATGACAGTGAAATTGAACAGTTAAAAGATTTTACACCAAGGCGCCCGCTTTGGACAGCATTTTGACGCCCCCT